GCAATTTTTTTCTCTTCAGTAGGTTATGGATAAAATATGATAATTCTTATGATTTAATAAAAATAAATAGATTTTTGAAAATCACCCAGCGTTAGTCCTTCATTGTCCTGCGGCTCCTCGGGCGGTCCCGATCCCCACTTTGAGAACCACTGTTCTAAAGCATAAAAATACCATGCAGATATTTAAGAAACATGCTGTGTACATTCTTGTTTATCTATAAAAAAACAATGCTAAAGTCAGATTTTCTGCTTTGAAAATGTGTGTTTCGTGCCTGAACGCTGTCTTTGTTTTGGTCATTTTAACCCGCCCAATGCCAGTTCAGCCATTAATATTTCAGTACCCCGGGTTGCCTTGGTGTGATTCATTCAGTCATGAACGCTCTCAAAGCATGCGTCCGTGGCTAATGCGACCTCTGGAGGACAGTAGCAGACTCCAAAATGAGACGCAGATTAGGTGAAGAAGCTCCAAACATTTCGGGTCGCAGAGCTGGCAACACTAGAAACACAAAATGTAGGAAATACTAAGAAAGCTACCTGAACTACAATTTTATTTCTTTTTCTCGAAGCAAAGTGTATCTGAACCAGCCACATACATTTTTTGGTCATCCTTACTGCAAACTTATATATAGAGGTGGACTTGAAATATTTTATAAGGGGGTCTCAGGTAAAAAAAAAAAAGGTTGGGAACCACTGTTCTAGGACACGAACAAAATAATTAATAATAATATGAAAACAAAATAAAAGTTATTAAAATGGCTTTTTTGTCAAATAACATGTGAAAGACAATAATAATATTTTAAAATCTTTTTAATTTGATCTAATTTAGCTTCTTTTTAGACTCACTAAAGTTGGCTGAGCAGTGAGACATGACAAAAGCACATACATTCAATGAAAGAATATGGGTAAAATTGACAAAAACATAATTCAAAAAACTTATAATTCCACCTGCATGTGTGTACAGGTTTAACCAATTATATTATAACATCAGAATAACATTATTTCACATTATTGTTCATACTGATTCAATCTTGTGGGACTTTAAAGGCACTTTATAGTGATAATGACCCTTATGCAGTGTTACAGACAAATCTGATCTTGAATTTTACACACCTCTGATTTACAATTCATGATTTAACCACGCAACCTTTGCTGCCTAAACTAAATGAATGTTTAATATAATACACAAACTATGGGAATTGTTTTCAATATTTTCACCTATTTTGTTTGTTCAGGAAAAAATAAAACACAGCTTTCTATTACTAACATCTGGAGCTGCAAACCACCATATTCAAGATTTGATGAAATAATTAATAATGAACAGAATTTGGTACAGCCCGAGTAGTTTTGCTTAAATTAGGACCAGAGCGCAAAATGCTTTTGGCGGGAAATGGCGCCATCTTGTGGTGTGAGCGCATAAGTGGGACATTTATTCTTCAATATTTTGCCTCTGAATAAATACAGCAATTCATCTGTGCTATGCTGCGCAATCTATGCCAACCATAACTAAGTTAAACTTTAAAAAAAGAAAATAAAGCAAAATTATTTTGTATGCACAGAAAAGCAAAATAAATCCATGTAAAATGTAATTATGTTTTAAAGTATTTTTCAAAAAATAACATTTCTAAATATGCATATTCTGTGATTTGTTTGGTTCGAGCACAAAAAATAAGCACCTGTGATTTAATATAATAAGAAGTGTTTTGTTTGACACATTTGAATGATGTTAGTTCAGCTTAATTTAGCAAAATGCATATTAATCCTAAACTCTTAACAATGTTTAAAGGGGACCTATTGTTTGTAAAATACTCTTATAAGGGGTTTAAACACTTTTGTGTGAACAGTTTGTGAATATAACCAGCTTCTAATGGTGAACATTTATTCATTATTTGTATAATCACATTTTGATTAGTGACATCTCTCCCATATTAGCATATGACCTTAGTCTTGTTTTTTAATCTGCCACTATGCTGACACACAGGCATGTGAAACTTTAAAGAGTTATAAAGCATTTGTGTGGTATTTTGAGCGGAAACTTCACATACACACTTTAGGGACATCTTATTTTACATCTTGTAAAAAGAGGCATCGTAGAAAAAAGAGGCATAAAGTCCCCTCTATTAAAAGAAATAGGGTGAGTGGGTCGTTTCCTGTATGGGTTGAGTTTACAGATAAGTAGTATTTTTGCTTAAATTACCAGAGCGCAAAATGCTTTTGGCGGGAAATGGCGCCATCTTGTGCTGTGAGCGCATAAGTGGGACATCTATTCTTCAATATTTTCGCCTCTGAATAAATATTCCGATTCATCTGAGCTGTGCTGCGCAATCTATTCCAACCATAACTAAGTTAAACTTTAAAAAAAAAAGTAAATAAAGCAAAATATTTTATATACACAGAAAAGCAAAATAAATGTAAAATGTAATGTTTTAAAGTATTTTTCTAAAAGTAACATTTCTAAATATGCATATTGTGTAAGATTTGTTTGGTTCAAGGACAGAAAATAAGCACCTGTGATTTAATACAATAAGAAGTGTTTTGTTTGACACATTTGAATGATGTTAGTTCAGCTTAATTTAGCAAAATGGAGCGCTAATTCATTTTAAAGCATTTCAAGTCACTTTCATTTTAACTATCTTGTGTATTTAAGCTTAAAACAGTTTGCATTTGTTAAGCATATTAATCTTAAGCTCTTAATAATGTTTAAAGTGGACCTATGGTTTGAAAAACACTTTTATAAGGGGTTTAAACACAGTTGTGTGGCAACAGTTTGTGAATATAACCAGCTTCTAATGGTAAAAATGTAGTAATTAGTCTGCAGAAACACTTTGAGATTGACATTCTCCCTTTGTACGTGTCATCAGAGGTAAAAAGCCCTACCCACTAGTGACAATCTATCCCTTATCTGTCACTATGCTGACACAAAGGCATCTGTAGCTCTGCCTTCTTTTGAAAAGAGCACAATCTCATTTGAAATTAAAGCGACGGCCACCAAAATAGCACAATTATGATCAGGGGCGGATTTAACCAATAGCTGAGGTCTAGGGCCCCCCAATAAATATCTAGAACAGGGATGCCCAAACTAGGGCCCGTGGGACAAAGTTGGCCCACAGTAACATTTGGTTTGGCCCGCCATCCTGTCCGAGATGGGAAGATATAGGAAGAATGTTGAGCATGATTTAGAGGTTGTCATTTCAAAACAAATGTAATGCGTGATTTACGTTGTTATTATTGCAATAAGTTATCATTTTAAATGTTATACTACATTAGTTAATATGATTTAAAATAATGTTCCTTATTATCTCATGAAATACATTAGGAAATGACACATGGCAACTCTGATGTAATATAGCTTGCTTTATTTACCTTCAGCCTTAGGCACTCAATGATATTTGGCTTTTGGCCCATAATACAAAAAAGTTTGGGCACCCTTGATCTATAAACTATATATAACATCGTTTTCTATCATATTTCAAATGGTAAGAGTTAAACAAATACAATTTTAATGTAATTAAATATAATTTACAATAAAATATAATATTATTATTATAATGTAATGTTATGTAATAATAATATTTCAAAATAAAATATCCATCATGGAGCAGTCCAGCAGTCAAATTTATTAAAAAAAATAAATAAATAAATTATTTTTAGTTGTAAATCAATTTAAAGAAAACTGATCTTAATTTAAAATGTAGAGATTGCATTATTTTAAAATGCAGAAAAGATGATTGAGTGATAAAAAACAACAACAATATAAATAAAAATTAAATAAAATTAGAAAGGGTGCATTTTAGGAATTGGGCCCCATGGCTGGAATTGCTTAGCGCCCCAAAATCACTAAATCTGCCCGTGATTATGATCGAAGCCTAAAAATGTCAGTTTCAAAGACTTACAAAGCATTATTTGTGTGGTATTTTGAGCTGAAACTTCACACACACTCTGGAGATATCAGAGACTTATTTTACATCTTGTAAAAAGAGGCATGATACGTCTCCTTTAAACAAATATAATTTTCCCGCCTATTTACTATATCTGCTTGTTAAGTGTGACGTCATGCGAAGTGGCTTCCGGGTCCAAGCGCTCTATTCAACTGAATGGGGAGACTCATGAAATGCTACTAATAAACGTTTACAAAGCGATTTAAGGCTTTCGAATATCACGATCGCAATATATATATCAATGCTTAATATCCGATGGCCAGAAAGTCATTAATTTTTTATAAATTGTTACATTTTTGGTATTTGTTATGCAGCAGAGATTGTTGTGTACACTATGAGTTTATATAAAATTAACTTTAATGTGTGACAGGAATAAAACGCGATCATAAACGAATGATTTCTCCACTCAAATGAATGGCGGCTTGGACCCGGAAACAGTATTACATACGTCATCACAACAAGCGGATCAAGTCCCCTCTATTCACCTTAATCTCCGCAGACGAGCGGGCGCTGCAATTTGAATCTTTTTGGCTTGAGATCTCCGGCCTCATTCACTTCCATTCATTTTTTGACATTAAAAACTGCTCGTTGCGCTGCTTGATGTTTTCTTATTATATTATTCTACTTGGTCTGTATAGTTATGCAAACATTTGTTTGTAGAGCAAGTAGTTTGACCGTTTTCTGCCGTTTATTATTCCTAGTCATTTCTCCCATAAGCGACTGATTCAGAAGTTCTAAGACAATCGCGAAAACAGGCGCACTTCCGCATTTTAGAATAAGGTCAATTAAAAGAAAGTGTGTGAGTGCGTTTCTTGTACGGGTTGAGTTTACAGATAAGGATGTTTGTGTTATCCCCACACAAATCAATGAAGTTGAAACAAACTTCAGAACAAAAACTTGTATGATATGATGGGTAAGACGCAGAAATTACACAGGAAAAATGTGACTTATGAAGGTGGTTGGGGTAGGGGTTAGGGCACATAATACAGCCTATAGTTTGTACAGTATAAAAACAATGGAGACTTATGGAATGTCCCCACAAAAACAAATGTGTGTGTCTCCTCAGGTAATAAGTTCTCGTCGTGCCACGCTCGTCTGCTGGTGGTGGGTGTGTGGTGTTATGCTGCAGTGTTTGCAGTGGGTCCTCTGTCGGGATGGGGTCAGTACGGGTCCGAGCCCTACGGCACCGCCTGCTGCATCGACTGGCACGCGCCGAGCTCCAGCACACCGGCTATGATCTACATCGTCTGCCTCTTCTTCTTCTGCTATATCGTGCCCTGCTGCGTCATCATCCTCTCGTATTCGCTCATCCTGGTGACGGTACGAGGCGCTCAACACGCAGTGCAGCAGCACGTCTCTCCTCAAAACAAGATCTCCAATGTGCAGACGCTTCTGGTCAAGGTGAGCAGAGCCCATTCTAGACCATTCTAGACCATAAAAAATGTCTGTTGTCTTCTCTGTGAATTTTTGATGTTGAACAGTCAACACTGCACGTAACTTTTATTGGCATTTTAGTAGTTTGAAATGAGATACTGCTTAAGAAATAATACAGAGAGAATTAAGTCTAAAGCTGAAGTACTGGCAGTTTGTTACCAGGTTTTTATACTGCAACTTTAACACAAATCCAGACAATATATCACTTTAAACTATTAAAAATGGCCACGTAGGGGCGCAGTAGGTAGTGCTGTCGCCTCACAGCAAGAAGGTCGCTGGTTTGTGCCTCAGCTGGGTCAGTTGACGTTTCTGTGTGGATCCCCTGCTGAAAAATCCAGCCTAAACCAGCCTGGGCTGGTTGGCTGGTTTTAGCTGGTCGACCAGGCTGGTTTTAGAGGGGTTTTGGCCACTTCCCGGCTGGTTTCCAGCCATTTTCAGCCTGGTCTTAGCTGGTCAGGCTGGGAGATGACCAGCTAAAACCAGCTTGACCAGCCTAGCCGAGCTGTGAGTCCAGCCAAAACCAGCTATATCCAGCTTAAACCAGGCTGGTCAAGCTGGTTTTAGCTGGATTTGGCTGGTCATATAAATTCGATTAATTTATTGGTTGGAACATTTCAGTAATTGGTGGATATTCTTGGGGACACGTCTCCTCCATCCATGCCAATTCTACGCCCTTGAAGGTTCTTTATATGGCATCTTTAATTCATAAATGATGTCCATGTAGATTATAGTGTATTCAAGGGTGTATTTATTGTTTGCATTCTTCTGAATACATCATATAAGCGTGCTTTTGCCATGGTTTGTTTATATGAATGTAAGTTGATTTTTCTGTCTCTGTGTGTTTGTGTTTCCAGCTTTCAGTGGCAGTATGTTTTGGTTTTCTGATGGCGTGGAGCCCGTACGCTGTAGTCTCCATGTGGGCAGCCTTCACCGAACCAGACCTGGTCCCTCCCATAGCATTTGCCCTGGCGGCAATGTTTGCCAAGTCCTCCACCCTCTACAACCCGATGGTCTACCTCGTCTTCAAGCCCAGCTTCCGGAAATCCCTGTGTCGTGATGCCACAAAGTGCAAGAGAAAGCTCTGCCCCTGCGTGTGCCAAACAGACACCCAACACCAAGGCACACCGAGCCTGAACACCAAGGACAAGTGCAAACTCACATGGGTCTCTAATGGATTGAACGAGAGCCACCAGTCCTGCAGACACTGTCCAGAAAGACAGACAGGGAATTACCTGGACATCACGCCTCAGAGGACAGCACGAGTCCTGACAGGAACCACACACAACGAGGTGGCGCTCAGTCAACTGTCCAACGAGATTAACAGCGACTTTCTGTAGACACTCACCATGACAAACTAATGGAGGAACGCCTCCAGTACACCAACAGGGGAAATAGAGATGCCTTAAAGTCCTATACAAACTGCAAGAGGATGTGGAGTCGTTTAACTGAGCAAAAAACCTAGGCTACCTAGTAACAAGAAAAGGTTGATTTGGTAGCAAAACTGAATGGTTATTTATACAACAATGTTTTCAGTCAAAACAAGAATCTTTTTACGATTTTGCCTGTTTGTTTACACAACATAATTTAAGCAACAGAAAATGCATTTTATTTTGAAACAGCTCAAAAATAAACGTGTTTGAAAATGGAGACATTACAGACACATTCAGAGGTAGGAATTTTTAGCAGTGAAATGTCAAACACAGGCTCATTCTGAAAACATGATGGCGTGGACATTTCTGGAGATGGTGAATTATGTAGGCGGAGGTACTTACGGCCTCATTTAATTTTGTTAAACGAATGCTACGGGGCGGTATGATGTCGTTCCTTTTCGCACTTACCAGCTGAATGCTTACCTCCATGTGGCTTCAACCAGCTTCAACCAGTTTGTCCTTTAAGCTCGTCGAGTACGTCGGCGGACTTGACACTCAGAGAGATGACCATGATGACGGGGATCAAGTCCGGGGAAGAATGGTTCCAAAAATCAGGTAAGACAAAAACAGAATCCAAAAAATAAAATGAACAAGTAAATAACAGGGTGAGAGTGTGGTAAAATCCGAAAACATGGTAAAAAAATCAGACGAGGGCTTTTCTTGTTCTGGATTGCTTCTGTAAATTGTGGTTGGGTTTAGGGAAGTTGTGGTTGTGCTCGTCAATCGATAAAATTGGTTGGGTTTCGGGAAGGAGGAGGGTGGGTCAGTCGATTGGTCGGCCAGCCAGTCATTCAGACAGACAGTCGGTAGACAGCGGCCTCTGGTGGGTTTAAGTGAGAACAGCGGGCGCGAACGGCACTTGCGAGAGACATTTGAGATATGAAAAAGTGCGGATCCTCTCGCGGATTCGCAAAAACAAAAACTGCAAAAATACGTACCTCCCAGGATGTATTTTGTGGTCTCCAGAAACGTCCATGGGACTACGTTTTCAGAACGAGCCTGGGTTGGAAATGTCTCACTTTCGACCTTAATGTGTTCCATTAGACTGCACATCACAGTTACATTTTCACCATGTAAGATGCGAATATTCCTTAACATTTCATGACATTGACAAAAACAAAAATAGAAAATGCTGGCTGTCCTTTGAATAATGCTGATGGAAAACAAAAAGAACATTCCAGACTGCATCATAGAGCTAATATAATCAATTTAGAAACAGCCTTTAACTGTAATGGAGAAACAAACACAACAAGTGACTAAGGTGATTCGAAAAACCAAGGTCATGTGACTAAGGTGATTTGAAACACCCAGGTCACATGATTAAAGTGTTTCAAAACACTATGTCATGTAACTAAAGCGATTCAAAGCATTGGTAATTTCAGAAGCGTTTCAAAACCTGGCGAATCTGCGTTAGACTGACAGTGTTAGAAAAAATCTCTATCTCATGTAGCCTAGCCGGCCGTGCATGTGCACGAATCCCGACTAGTACAAATATTCTAAAGTTATTACTTGATGTGTTTTAAAAATGTTATTTTTTATGACCAAAACAAGACATATTTATTCAGAAAGTGTTCATTCGGATGTCAGACCCAAGGCTTAATTTGTGCCGGAACAAGCCGGATGCGGATTCGGCACCTCTGAAATCTAATCTAGCAAATCGTTTTACCGTTTTACCCATCCACTGTTTACTTTTACTTTCGTCCGTGACAAACCCCCCACCACCACCTCTCCTTTCTGGGGTAACATGCCAGATCCATTACCCCGATCTGTTCTGGGACCTCGCAATTCGCAAATGAACCACTGGTCAGACCAATGTTAAAACAAACATCTATAGCTGCATCACCCTGGATTTGAACCCATTATCTCAACATGCTAGTCTGGAACTCTCACTGCTTCACTGAATCACTTGACACTTTAACTCTACAACATGGGGTTTAATACCTCAATTTGCTTAACTGTTTCTTTGCTGAAGCTATTCCAGAACAATACACTAAAATGACCACTTAGTTTCACTGTAAAGAAGTTTTCGAAACTTTTCGAAGCTGACACATTTGCTTCAACTGTTTCATGAAGCCTTGCTTTGACCACCTCTACTAACAAGGTGACAGTACCAAATACTGGTCTGTCCTAAATAATACCGTGTTTCTGACATTGCGTTTTTGTTTTGAAAACATTGTTGTGTAAACGTGAAACTTTCAAATTGCAAGGGAAAACTTTTCCATTTTTGACTTTATCATTATCATGTAAAGGTAGAAGGACACATTTAGACCTGGCATACTTACCATCTCCAAAACTTCCCAGAATTGAAACTCTAGTTGTTATGCACATCATATTTCTTCCGAACCTGTATGCACAAACATCAAGGACGTACATGTTTCATCATGTTATTGCAATTCATCATGTCAAAATTGAAGCTTCAGAGTGTTGGTGAATAATATTTTGGGTCACACTTTATTTTAAGGTTCGATTCTCACTATTAACAAACCATTAACTATGACTTTTGCCTCAATAAATTCCTAATTTGCTGCTTATTGATATTCATTAAGATAGTAATTGGGTTTAGGTATTGGACAAGATTAGAACCGTCAAACATGTGCTTTATAAGTACTAATAAACAGCCAATATCTTAATAATAAGCAGTATATAATGCACTAGTTAAAAGTGAGAATTAGTACTTAAAGTGTTACCATATTTTGAATGTAGGTGTGATTGTTCCATAAGTCTATGATGTGGCTGTGGTATACCGAAGTGCAAAGACATGTTGTTCTATGTGAATTCTGATATTTTTGATGATTGTATTGTGCCATGATTTATGAATAAGTACAGCATGAAGGTTATTTATGATTGCCCCATATATGATATTTATACTGCCCACAGGTTTGGAAAGTAACATAAAGGTTTTTCTAAGATTATGGTTGCGTCCGAAAGCTTTAAAAGGCTTCCTTTGGAGGCTGCATTCTATCATAGGATGGCATCAAGGCAGGTCCGAATCCAAATTCTTCTTCACTTCCTGTCTCTGGAGGAGCTTTCCTGTTATTGAATCAAATTTTGAAGAAAGCATAGATTCACTTCCTTCCATGTCCCACAATCCAGAGGGTTTTATTTCTGACAGCTAAAATAAAGAGATGACATCTTGAACCACCATTTGGATGTCAGTTGGGCATTTTGACCAATGTTTTCCACTTTTGATGCCATTTCTAGTTAAAGGTTTGTATTGTAGTATGAAAATATTCCCTTAGTTATTCTTCAAAGTTCTCACTATTTAGTTGTACATAATTAAATCATATTGCCATTTCAGAAGTCTGCCTGAAATCAGTTTTACGAGATGCCTTCATGTACAACGTAGGTCTCAAACTCGATTCCTGGAGGGCTGAACCTCTGCACAGTTTGGCTCCAACCCTAATCAAAGACAAATGATCCAACTAATCAAGGTGTTCCTGGATGAAATAAATTCTGGATGGGCTCATCCCTATGTTCTGATCCCTTTGGAGGGTCCATGTGAAGGGTTTTAAGCAGGGGTGTCCAAAATTGGTCCTGAAGGGCCAGTGTCCTTAGCTCTAACTTGCCTCAACATACCTGCCAAGAAGTTTCTAGTACATCCAGTAAGATCTTGATGAGCTGGTTCAAGTGCGTTTGATTAGGGTTCAAGCTAAACTCTCCAGGATACCCTGCTGAAAAATCCAGCCTAAACCAGCCTAGGCTGGTTGGCTGGTTTTAGCTGGTCGACCAGGCTGGTTTTAGAGGGGTTTTGGCCATTTCCAGGCTGGTTTCCAGCCATTTCCAGCCTGGTCTTAGCTGGTCAAGCTGGAAAATGACCAGCTAAATCCAGCTAAAACCAGCTTGACCAGCCTGGTTTAAGCTGGAAATAGCTGGTTTTGGCTGGGCTCCCAGCCTGGCTAGGCTGGTCAAGCTGGTTTTAGCTGGTCATGTCCCAGCCTGACCAGCTAATACCAGGCTGAAAATGACTGGAAACCAGCCTGGAAATGGCCAAAACCCCTCTAAAACCAGCCAACCAGCCTAGGCTGGTTTAAGCTGTTTTTTTCAGTGACCCTCCAGGACTGAGTTTTGGACACCCTTGGATTGAAGCATAGGGATGAACCCTTTCTGAATTGAATGCAGTGTGACTCCAAACAGATTCTCTGTTCAAAGGATAATTTCCTGAAGTGTCCATCAGTTGTATTTTTCAAAATCTTTTTTTAAAAAGGGCCTTCGAAGCCAGTTTTGAACCCTTTTTTTGGAATGACACTTCAATATGGCACCAATGATTCTTTAATTTTGAAGTGCCCTTTGGAGGGCTCTTTACCCATTTGAAATGCACCGAAAGACAACTAGCAACTTCTAAGCAGGTATGTGGTTGGAGTTAAACCCTGCAGAGCTGTGACCCTTGGGCTTGAGACTATTGATGTACAAACTCTGCCTCCAGAGGCAACTGCCTAAGCTTTCGGACAGCCTATGAAATGCAGATTTTTTTCCAGAAAGGTTTTTGTTACAATATTCGTTTCCCATCCTCATTTTCACTCTCTCTGAAAAACATTAGTGGGGTGTAACGCAGGGGTGCCCAACCCAGATCCTGGAGATCTACCTTGCTGCAGAGTTTAGGCTATGTCCGCAGTACACAGGTATTTTTGTAAATGCTGTTTATGCAAAAACACACTGTGATGCATGTTCAGAGCATGACGAACCAATAGGGGGTGATGTGGACACTTTTATGCTGGGTTTACACCAAATTGGGAATTAAGTATCTGCACAAGTAAATTGCAAACAAATCAATGCAAACATGAAAACAGAGACAGCTCATTGTCCCACGGATAAACAACACATAATATACGATGGATACCACGAATTGCCTCATTTTATTTGGTGTGAACCCAGCCATGTTGATATTTTGTTGTTTTTAGGTTGTGTTGGAAATTAACCAAATTACATCTGTCTGATGTTGGATATTGACCTCGACCTGACTTTGGTTTCTGGCGGCAACCCAATTTTTATTTCCAATCAATGTCCCGCTATGTTGGGTTACAACATCAATCTGACTTCATGTTGACGTCCTGTGCCTGCTGGGTCGGTTTAGTTATGTTTGATGACAGTTGGAGCTAAACTTTAGCTCCTAGCTACTCTAGCAGGGTAGATCTCTAATGCCAGGGTTGAGCACCTGGTGTAACGTCTTGCAGAAAATAAAGCTGTGATATTTCTGATCAGGTTATGTACTGAATTTATTAGCAAAATTTCATGTGACAAAGACAGGCTGAGCGTAATTCACAAAAATGTCTGTTGTAAAATATCAGGAACAAGCACTCTGACATTATTAAAAGTAAACTATGCATTTCTAATGTAGGGGTCTTTAGGAAGACAGTTACTTGACATCCGCTGACAAGACATCTGCGTTCAATGGTTTACTCTTGGTTAACTCACATTTTTTGTCTTTTGACAGATGCACAGACGCATGTTGTTCACATCAGTTCAGCTTGATGACATTGCAGGATCACAACTCTTTTTATTTCAGAAGGGCAAAAACTGAATTTATTTTAAAATTAGGTCATTTTTTGGCTCAGAAACCTGCCGTACATAAGTGAAATTATTTTGTTAATTACTTACCCTCATGTTGTTTCAATCCCCTGAGACCTTCATTCATCTTCTGGACACAAATGAAGATATTATAGATCAAATCTGAGAGCTCCCTCATCCTCCATAGACAGCAACAGTCCCGAGATGCTCAAAGTCTCAAAATGGTATACCAAAAACATTGTCAAAACAGTTCATATGAGTTCAACTGTAAAGATGACTCTGTTTGAAGTATACCTGGGCCTATAGCATTGTCTGTAGTAATTGTGGAACGCAGAACAACAAAGTTCTTTTTCTTTTGAGCGCAAAAAGATATTTTAAAGTGATAGTACAGTTGAAGT